TAAGTGGGCTCCCGCCGCCGCAATCGCGGGGGGTGTGGGCCCCGCCACGGTCCCGCAGGCGGGCTGGCCCAGGAGGTGGGAGCGGACTAACCCCTCGGGTCTGCTTCCCCCCTTCTCAGGCCACTTCTGCAGCCCGCAGCTCGGTGCCCAGGACGCGGCGTGGCAGGGAGACCAGCTGTCATCCCAGCTTTACAGAAACAAGCAGGTAAAGGCTCTGCGCCCCCCACCCCCCCAGCAACCTCGGTGTCTCCCCCCGAGGTTCCTGAACTTTGTATCATGTTATCACACCTTCTCGGTTGGTTTATGGCACCAATGAGACCCCTCCTCCTGGCACAGGTGTGGGAAACTGTGGCAAACTGCTTTATTTGGGTGGATTTTGTTCCTTGCTTGAAGTATTTGTCTCCCCCATGTTGTCCCGTGAAGCTGGAACAACTATTGTGGGGTTCCCTATTCATCCCTCCCCTCTCACAGCATATTGCACCAGCTTTCTTCGCTGGAGGCCAGGGGTGTGACCAGGGAATCCCTCAGGCTCTGATGATGCAGAGCCCCATGCTGTTGACTAAAAATAACCTGGTGTGTGTCCTCCTGAGACCACCAGAATTAACTTCATGAGAAATTGTTCCGACAGAATTATCTACTTACCTGATGGATCAACCATTTTGACTAACACTCATTTCCTTATTCTTTTATTTTGCCTCTTCTTTCTTTTTATTGTAAATCCCATCAAGGGGCAGGAGAAACTGAACAGTCTAAGATGAAGGAATCCCAGACAAATCACTCTGATCAAATACTTGCAATTATATTTTGACCCAGTGAAGTCAATTGAAATTAATTTACTAACTTCAAAGTCCCTGGAATCAAACCCTAGTTTCAGACATCAATGTACTTCATTCTTTGGCTCTACCTCCATCATTTAAATCTGTGCTTTTCAGCCTATGGTCAGCAGATGCCCGGGGTCCTTGGCAGAAGGTCCTTTGTACTCCTAAAGAAGTCTCCAGAGCTACGATCGGGAAGCAAAAATCTCTCTGCAAATACATAGATTTCCCATGAAAAAGTGTTAGGCATCTGCAAATCAAAACATACCTGTTCATCTCTTGGCACCAATGATTATCTCAGCTCTGTATGTGTACTGGGACTGGCACAGTAGGGTCCAGGATTGAAGGGATCACTGAGTACTACTATATCACAAAGAATAGCAGCTGCATCTTCCTTCTGCACTCTATCCCCCTAAATTGTTAGTCTGCATCTCCTCCTTCTCCTTTTCCCCACCAACCAACTATAAACAAGACTGAGAGGTGTCCAAAGGGATGCTTACTTAGGAGGAGATCTGTCAGCTGCTGTCATGCATGCCCATGACTATTTCTGGCTGTTCACAGGGTTACCTGTAATTCTTTTCTGTTATTATTCCACAGTTACAGGTTTTTTTCAGAGTAATCTTCTCAAACACTTGCTAAAGAATAAAGGAAGTCAAAGTGAAAACTGAACAGTCATGCCACTTAGATTTACAGAGACAAGAGGCTGGAGGGGGTGGGTTGAGCTCACAAAGCAAACACCCAGATCATCAAATCCAGGCAGCCTGTACCATAGGGCAATTGATATTATGTTACAGAGTCAACACCTATTCATCAATATCTCTATTCCACAGCTTCAAGATACTTTGCTTCAGAAGGAAGAGGAACTTGCTAGGTTACATGAAGAAAATAATAACCTTCGACAATACCTGAATTCTGCCCTGATTAAATGTTTAGAAGAAAAAGCCAAGGTATTGTGTTCAAACCTGTTGTATAGACATGTGTGGAAGAAACAGGTTGAATCGGTACACGCCATTAAAATATATGGAAAGTCTGAGAGTGTTGACAACCTGCAGTGTGAGATCTTTTTAATTTCACAGAGCTGCCGAATTGCTGGTTATGGATCTAAGGGGACAGTTTCCCCCAGAAATTACATCCTATCAGGTTCTGATTGTGGAAACAGTATAGCCCATGGCATAATTAAGTGTAGTGTAAAAGTAAGTTAGCTATAAGTAAGTTTATAGGCAAGGTAAAATTATTCCATGTAATGCATTTTTCAGTGAAAAGTTCAAATTTGAACATATAGTCTTGAATTATCCCTTTTGATAAGGATTAATTTTTCCTTTTTTTATGTTTTGGGTGTTTTCTTGTTTATGTTTTGTTTTGTCATCTTCCATTGATACATTTTATTCGTGTACATTAGAATACTGATCTATTTTTCTTCAAATTTATTAATTAAAAGCTGTGTGTTTTTTTATAAAGGTGAAATACAAAATTAAACACTTCAGGTTGGATGAAACATTCTGTTAAACTAAGTGTGAAGGTGTTTTTTTTTGTAATGAAATATTTTGATTCTCTGTCTCTCATCCAAAAGAAAGTAAAGATAATTGTTTCTGGTCAGCTTAAAGACATTTTTAACTGTTTCAGCCTTGCCCATGAAAGTGAACCATTAGTTATTTACTCAGCTGTGTGGAATTGGGCATGAGGTAAAAAAGCCTGTAGGAAATAGCAGACTTTCCTTTTACATTCTATTCTGAGTTGACAGTGTAGCATGTCCCCCCTCCCATGCCAAGACCTGGCTCCTGGCAGTAGAAAAGGTCTCCTTCACTGGGCACAGCAGGGAGACATGGCCACCCCTCTATGTCATGCGGAGGAGGGTCCAGTGTGAAACCATCACAGGAGGTGTCTGAGCAGTGAATTCATGACCTGATGGGGAGCTTCCTTGTTATTACTGCCTTCCTTTGACCATCCGTGGATGCCTGAAGGGCCTTCGTCCTGGGATAATGACAACTGAGGTGGGTTAACAAGCTCAAAGCCACTGCCTGCTGCTCTGAGCAGTCCCTAGTCAGAATCACACCTGCTCCAGTATAACTTACCTTCATTTACTCTCTCTTTGTCAGGGTGCCACATTCCCCCCCATACCCCACTCACCTGCCAAACGCTTCTGGCAGCAACAGCACAGAGGAGTGCCCTACAACCAGGCAGGAGCTCTCATTTCACGCCGTACTGAGAATGCGATCAAAGCACAGGCCTTATTGACATTGTCAAATTCTTCTCTTTCAGGGAGTGGGTTGTTGCAGAGACTGTAAAGACACAAAATAATTAGTCATATAGATATGTTTAAGCACAGTGTAGAAGAAAAAGTATCTTTTATAAGGACAGTAGTAACCATTTTGCCCATCTAAAATCTGAGATCAGAAATACATTGCTTCCAGGTAACTAAAAATTCAGATTTTAATCTCTCTCCACCTTCTTTTTTTTTTTTAATAGAAATTGCTATCCTGCCATGGCCAAAAAAACAGTGCTGTTCTCAAAAGCACCAAGAGGAGATTGAAAGAGGACCACTGCTTTGTTCCTCAGGAAACTCCTCATGCTTCCAAAGCTAGAAGGAACCTCTTTAATGAATTCACTGCCTGTGAAGAGCAAGCCAGCCCTGCTGTGGACAGCTGGGTCTTGCAGACTTTAGGATTAAAAGATGTCAACACCATTGATGAAACTTCAGCTAACTACAGTGCCCTGTCCTCAGACCTTGGAAAAGACATGTACTGCCTGAGCCCTGGTGAAACAATAGACTATGAGCAGAACAAAGGAGCAGCAGCAGCAGCATATAGCTGCAGCCATGTGCCTCCCGCTAACAGCAGTACCCATCCATGCAGCGAGGACTCTTCCCTCCTTCCTCAGTTTTCTTCAGCACCATGTGTCTCCTCATCAGTACCAAGCGTTTCCTCCCTCCCAGCCTATGGGTTGCCTTATTTGACTGGTGATTTGTCGCCCAACAAAACAGATGTGGCCTTCACAACATCTCTAAGTCCTCACCGCAATGTGAGAACGCACACCTTCCACCAAGGACAAGCCTTTGTGCGCAGGGATGATGATGGAGGCTGGAGATTCACCTGGGTGCCCAAGCAAGCTGAGTAATGCACCTGCATCAAGGGTCAGCCATAAGGGATATAGGAGATGGACACTTCATCCTGTGCTTGAGACAGATTCAGGCATCAAAAATGAGCCCTTCTGGGCTCTGTTAAATGCTCCTCTGTCACCTGCCCACTCGTCACTCCCTGCCAGATTTTCACAGGTGTGGCTCCAGATTGCACTTGAACAATTATCTACCCCAGACCAGATGTATAAATTGGATCCACTTCTCTTGTGCCTTTGTTGAGATACCTGCTTTATTTGTTTCCTGGTTTTTCTATCATCGGCTGTTCCTTGTTAACTGGTAGTTTCCAGGCTGGAGTGCTTTCAGCTTTGATGATCACTCCCACACGCACCAAACTGGAAAGCATTTTGAGAATACAGTTTGGAAATAGCAGCTCTCACACAGATATCTACAGATGACAAAGGAGGCATAGGTTGGAGGCTGAGGATTGATGGTTTCCAAGTGATTTTTGTGTCTCTTGGCTACACAGATTGCCTTGCATTAAGGCAACCATGGGTATTTGTTAATGTGCTACACTAGGCTGACCCACCTGCAGTTGCATGGTGCTGTCATATTCTTTGATGATGCCTCAAAATAAACAGGATTTGCTTCTGTTGCCTGGAGGCTACTTAATTATAAGTGATTCAGCAAGTTCAGGGGATTTTCTTAAGGTCTGGCTAAGAGACATTAGTGTTTGCTGAATTGTGTTTTAAAGGTATTTTATTTGTCAAATAGAAGGAGCTTAAACATTTAAGCCCTGGGACAGGAACTAGAATTGGAGATGCTGTAGAGTAATGACACTGCCATCACCAGCCAAGGCCCTGGGCCAATATATTAGTGGCAGAAATTTTCTCATCTGTGGCTAATGTACACTCAGAGCACTTCTTTCTTCTGCGAAGGATGTATTTCCCCTTGCCTGCAGCATCCCACTAGTCTTTTGCAGAATTCCACTGGTCTTTTGATGAATTTTATTTAATGTTTACCTGCCTGATTTTGGGAGCCCTCATAAAAGTGAGCCACTGCTGGCTTAATAAGCAATTTCTGTGGCCCCAGTAGGGCTTTTTTGCAACATCAAGAGCTGCATTTGTGAAACTGGAAATTTTCTTTCTAGGGAAAAACTTATTGACCTCTTTGTCCTTATCTCTGAGATCACACAGAGGTTTATCTGCCATCAACATCAGCCCAGAGTCAGGGCTGCTTCCTCCTCTTCCCAAAACCCCATGCTTCCTATGGGAAATGTTTCTCCTGGTTTGGGGAGGCAGCATCACTTAGTGGTTACAGTGAGTCTTTGGGAACCACAGCCTTCAACACCAGCTCTTGCCTCTCCATGTCTCTGTCAGGCAGTGGTGGGTTGAAGCTAAGAGCATCACTACACCTTCACAATGCTTTAAAAATCTCTGGCAAGAAGGTGCTCTAGCACTGCATGGGACTTGACTTTTAGTAAGACTACGAAGATATGAAGTCAACTGACATGAAGTAAGCTCACCAGTAATGTTTTGCATTACCTTTGTTTTCTGCTTTACAGTAGTTTGGTGCCTAAGTATCGGAAATAGAGTGATTTTTTTTTTCTTGCTTTCAGAATGGCCCCAGTGACATTAAGGAAGTACTTAAGTAAAAATAACCATAACTGAAGATTTCCTTCCAGTGACTTATTTTCCTATAGAAAACTGGATGTTCCTTTATTTTTAGAGGAATAAAATAAAAGTATTTCCTAAATGGCTTCTTGTGCCTTAGAATTGCAATATTTGGGATTCTCCATCAAGAACAGTAGTGATTTTCTGAAAGACTTTTAAGTAAACAAAATCTGTGTTTCTGGGTAGTTACTTTAAAGTCAGTCATGAGGCAGACTTCCAGAATAGGCAATTTAAAACCATTGATTGTAGGCATTATTGCACTGGATTAAAAACCCAAACAAACAAACCAACCCAAACAAAAAAACCCACCACCACCAAAAAATCAAAAACCTGGAAAGAAACAATGCACGTGGAATAAATACAAGTATTTGTTTGGAGATTTTGTTGTAGTCAGTAAAAATGTGGCCAGCTGATGAAGACTAGTCAGACAAGACCACTGTTTCTATAGCACTTCTCTGCTTTTCAATGAAAGCAGAGGAAAAATCCTGTCCTACAAACAACTTCTTTTTCAAGACATTTCTTTTCTATTATTAATTTCCTCCTGCCCTACTACATAAGGTAGCATTGAAGAAAATACTCCTGTCACTGGATTTTCTATTGGGGTGTGTGGTAGTGTAAAAAATGCCCGACCTTAACATGAATATGTGATGGGAGACCCTGGAATGTGTGGTGTGGGGGCTGAACAGCATGCCAGGAATAGACAGTGTGGCCAGAGGACTACACCCAACACAGCTGTAGATGCCACATCTTTCAAAGCAGCTGTAAAACATAAGTAGAGAAAGATCTGTCTGTGTTTTCTAACACTTTTGAATGCTATTACTTATGTATTTCAATGCTATGGAGTCAGCAGCAGGAATAAGTACTTTTGTCCTGTCAGCAAATATTAAATCAGGGTTTTTTCTCTAAAGAGAGATAAAAGCTTTTCACCTGTTTGACATTTCCACATTTTTATATCACTGCAAGTGAGAACTTGTCCTACAGAGAGCCAGAACAGAAGTGTCAGATCTTTGGTACAATCTCAAAGTAGGGTTTCAGCAGGAACAAACTGATGGTTGACTTCTGTAAAGGGGTGGCTGGCCCCTTGTCTCATAGTAAATAAATTATAAATGTAAGTGAATAGCTCAATGAATAATTTACCTGAATGAATTATCATCTTTTCCTGTGGGCCCTTGAATTTTACTCAGCATTAAAGTGTTGAGTCATGTGGCAGGAGTTTCTGTCTGAGCCTGGCTTACTTGAGTTCATTTGAGTAGAGGGTCCCATGGTGCTGCTCCTGTCAGCTGATGGGTGCTCCTGACCTGCACATGCAAACTTAAAATTCTGGTTTAGACAACTGCTTGAGCAGGGGTCTCTGTTAATAATGCTGCTGATCACTGTAGCAGAGGGAGCACACTGGAAGAAAACAGAAAAATCTCCAAATCATTTTAGCAAATAACTGAGGGTGATTTATTTTTCCCTGACAGCATCATTTGAACTAGTATTTCCTGAGTTATGAAGAACACTTAAAACAAGCTACCTTGTGTCTAACACCAATCCACAACAAGCAAGTCAGCCCCAAGGTGAGGAATAAGACTCTTCTGTTTTTTGATTTCTCTGTAATACTCCTGCTGAGTTCAGTAGTGCAATTCTCACTGAGGACAAGTCTCAGTGACTGAACTGTTCCTTTAGATAAATATTGCTCCTGTTGCCAAAAAAAAAAGCCCTTACTTAGCATACCTCACTCTAAACTGCCTGGTTCCTCTGAAAATCCTGCATTCACATAGGTATAATAAATGTGGAAAATTAATAAGAGATTGAAGACATCTTATGGCAGATTATTGTCAAATAGTGGGATATGGAGAACAGTTACTGACTGAGCTGGTGCTGGTTTGACATGTTGATTTGACCTGCTGTGTCCCCATTACTTCCTTGGGCCTGAAAGCAGTAAAGCTTCATCAGTGTGGTGGTGCTTCCAGCTTAGTTGCTTTTACCTCTTGGTAGGGTTCATAACATTAGGTTCAGGCTGGGGCTGCAGTAGCAACACTGCTACTAACTTGATACTAGTGAGTCTGAATCTTGCCTAGTGTGTAGGCACACAGTGTAGATGTACCCTAGATTGAACTTGTAAAAATCAGCCATAGAAATGGAGCCTAATGCACTGTCTTTTTCTTTTTGAGATAAAATTCTGGAAATGCTTATTTCCTTTTAATTACTGTCCAATTTGTATCACAATTCTTTGGCCTGCAAAGACATGGGAGAGAAGGTCTTGCCTTTACAAAGCCTAGACTGGGCTTTGAAATGTGTTCAGTCCTGGTTTGTGCCTGATGCTGCCTGTTTGTCCTTTTGTATCCATTCCCAGTGGGTGAAACAGAGCCAAAGGCCCTGTGCTCGTCATGAAAATGTGAGGTAAAGCCCAGAGAAGCCTGTGACACGTTATGCCACAGAGGTAGCTAGAGATCAGTAGGAATGAAAGCAAAAAGTAGAAACAAAATCCAATTCTTCACACAGCCATTCACAACTAGGTAGCCAGGAGATAGCATAGATGAAGAGTTTCAGCTTGGTACTGTACTTCTAACTTCAAAACCAGATCAGGCAGCTGGAATAGAGGAACAGGAGGCAGAAGTTCTGGGTTCTGACATTGCCTCTGGCACTACACTTTGTTTCTGTGCTTCGGTTTTTATGGAATCCACCACTGGACTAGTTCATAGCTATTTAACAAGAAATCATGATTCTTGCTGCTGCAAACTCCCTCTTCCCAAGGGTCAGTATTAGGCCCATATACCTCCAGGATGGGGAAGTATGACTTGAATGGCCCAGTGGTCCTGGGAGATTCTTTGAGCAGTAGTTGAACTTCATTGTCTGTAAATATCCATCTCGTACTAACATATTTGGTTTATTTTTTTATTTAAAGTTTGTTTGCTTTATCATGTGAATGTAACGTGCAGCTGCACACTTTAAAACAATCCATGTTTTTAAAAAGGTATGCTAATAGAAATGGAAATTAATTTAACACTTAATATGTTGATGTTCATGATTTTTGTGATTGAAAAAGACCATGATTATATGTAAATGTCAATTTTACCAGTGTCATTAAGTTATGTCTAATAAAACTTAACAACTAATTAATGCAATTCTTTCTGCCCACTTCAGCATCTATTAAACAATGCAGCTGTTGCTCACTCTGCACAGCACCACACCTGACATCTACACACCCCCTCCAGAGGACTGAAAAGGACCTTTATTTCCTGCAAGCACAAGTGTCCATGCAAGGAGGTGTGATTTTTGATCATAATAATAACAGAGGTAAAGATCTAACAGCCACAGGTATGCTCATTTCAGTCTGGGCTTGCACAGCATATTGCAGTGATTCATTATTGTTTTGACTCTGA